CGACAGCCCGGGTCACCTCCGGTATATACCTTCGTATTATTGTAAGGCACGGCTGTGACGTCAAATTCCCGGGTCTTATTGGTTGCGGCGACACAATAGCAAATCATCCCAACCCATTTCCAGAGCATTAATCCAACTTCGTCGTTGATACCCTTGTTWCTGCGCATTCACATAAACCACGGTCGAATCACAACCCTCGGAATCGAGCTACCTCGTACCATCACTACCACCAACTCCAACGGCACCACCCCATCCGGGCTTTCCGTCAGCTGCGAACGCCCGACGCGCAGCCGCTGAGAAATCACATCTGATCTCGACGACAGAATTTTCAGACAACCCTTCAGCCGTAGTTGTAGGTAGTTGTGACAACGCTCCTCGACATAGCATCCCTTCACTTCATCATCCGTTTCACTTCAACTACCTCATTCGCTCTCGTCCGTACTCTGTGGTCACAATAGTCATCGCGTAGCTGCGCCGATTCGTTGTTTGCAACCCCCTCCGTAAAATCAGTTTTTCGAGCACCGTAACGACGAACACCAGTTGCGTGTATCCAGGGGTGATTTACGCGTTGTCGTTTCACCCTCGCGGTACTTATTTACCTAAATCGTTCGTAATCATTTTCTTATCACCACTGCCAGTAGAGCGCAACCACTTTAAAATCTACGGTCCTCTTCACTCCAAAARCCACAAACAGTAGTACACGGGTGACTTTCATAGACGATCAACTGGTGCACCGCCATAGTTGGTTTTTTGGCAACCTTCCAGCTGATTTTTTTTCTATCTCCTATTCAGTATCGCTCGTTAATCGATTAATCCGACGATTTCGTATGATATCGTTTGTGTGTATTTTTATTCACGCCCTCGACCATTGATCAAGTATTATTTGTTTTATCAATATCGTTTGTAAAAGAAAAGCGATTTACAGATTCAGCGATCTCGTAAATCCCCACGCTTCGACCATCTCCGCCGTACGCTTTATTTTATTTTAAAATATTCTTCATCATACATGATCACCGGGGATCCGTCTTAGCAGGCCCCGTCGGCTGTCTGGCACACCATATCTAAGATATCCAAGCAAATCCTATATGGAACATCAATTTCTCCATTCATCGGCTTTCGACCTAAGAGCCACTGACATCGCTGTCACTTTACACTGAAGATCAGGTAAGCCTTTTTAATAAAGAAATATTAATTGCGTATAATGGTGACTTTTCAACAGTTTTTTACAAAACCGTATATTATAATAAGTATTTTGGTTCTTTATTGTATGATCATAAATTACATTTATATGTATATTTTAGTTGTTTGATAAATTATATTTAAAAGTATGTTCTGCTGTAAATATTTTGTATACGTACTACGTAGAGGATTCTGTAGAAAGATTAACGGCCAAATGATTTTGTATGCCTAAAATACGATAATTGAGCGTTCGTGTTGAGTACCTGTAGAGATAAGGATGGTTATTATCATATTGTGCAATATGTATAATTTTCATCAAAATTAAAATTGATTATTTATTGATAGTATAGTAATCTATTGATAAAATAGGTACGGGATGTTAATAGTAAAACTAATAACACTGAATGTGATAAAAAATATGGTTTCTTATTTCGCTTAGGTATTAACACCAACACTGTTCTACGGTACATCAATAATGAATTTAAAGATACTTAATGAATTTTATTTATAAAAAAATAATAAAATATGTAGCACTGTGAATAACACTAATAACTAATAATCATAGACATTAAATAATAACATACAATGCCATTAAAGATATAATACAGTGAAGCTATTTTTATCATTACTTCTCATTCTGGCAGAATTACTATCATTATATAATATATTTATATATATATAAATTATTATAAGAATTAAATTTTTTTTCTGTATTTGTACATTGAGACAACCTCAAGATCTTTGTCAATGCTTATCATAAGTGGGAGGTAGAGAGATCATGAGTGATATATTTATCTAATTATACACATAATACTGTTTAAGTATCTCCATAAGAGGAGCTCTATTGTGCGGTCTTCACTCCTAGTGGAGTGGAACCTAATTGGAAACCGCATGAGACAATCGAATATTTACAAACAGGTATAATATTATTATTATTATTATATATGTGTAGATAAATTATTATTAGAGCACGGATTTTTTTGCACTTAAAAGGTATTAAAATATGCTATATAATCTTTGGCTACTTCTATGGAGGTGTAAATTATAAATTCCCACATCCACAACCTCTAGTATTAAATGTACATAATCAACTAGTTATTTTGAATGTATTAAAACTTTCCTAACCATTAGATGTATACTAATGAACTATATGTTACACTATATGAACGAATGACTGTATTACTGTGTCTAGGCACGTTCAATAAAACTATATGTGAATATCAAGTTGAGATTGGTGAGTGTTGACTATCCCTAACTAGGTAGAATATAATATAACAATCGGCGTAGAGATCGAATACCRCGTACAATAATGTATGATCCTACATAATTGTTTTAAGGATCATTTATCAGTTTATCGCCAATTAAATAAATTTAAATATAACTCTGCGAGGGAGTAGGCCTCTTTGATTGTCATTGTAACCTTATTGCTGATTGGTAATAAATAATAATATTATGTGGTCGCTGCCGGTGCAAACTATTGTTCACCGTATGATTTGAGATCTCCAGTTACTATAATATTATGTAGCTATATTATTTCGGTCAGTTTACAATAATACGATTATCACGAAGTTTTTTCTAATGCCGCCTATCAATTGAATGCACGTACGCAACTAACCATAATACACACCCTCTCCTAAAAAGAACAATTTATTTTTTTATATTCAAGAAAAAAATAACATTTGGAATTTTATGACCATTATAAAATGATTTTTTTCTAAAAATCATTTTATACTTTTAGTGTTGGTCATATTTTTTATATAGGTATTATTATAAATTATAATGAGCAGAATTCAAAGAACGGTAAAATAATAAATAAAGTTAATGACGAATTTATATAGTTTATATATCATATTAATTTATCCAATCAGGGATAGAAATTACCTTGCCTAAATTTATTTGTATTTTGATTTCATCCAGTTATCCGGTTATTCTACATTATTTGTTGAATTGTGGTAGTGTATTTTCTTATTACAAAACTAAATTTAAATTTAAAAAAATATTAAAGCTAACAATTCAATTCAAATCTTTTGTAACATTTTGCGAAAATTATTGACGTAATACAAAATCAGAGTAAGATGAGGTGAGTCTATCAACGACTAACTATATATGTATCAGACGTGAAATATAATCGGCTATTTAACGTTTAATAATTAACTGCTAAGAATATTATTTGAAAATGTATTCAAACTTTTTCATCTTAAGGGATTTTTGTGCGTTTTTTTAACGGCTCTCTAATTATTAAGAAGAAAATTAAAAAAAAAAGAGTGATGGTAATAATAATTTATCCAAGTACTAGAAATAAAACTACGAGTATGTCGTTTGTGTTTCGTTATCGGTTCCATAATGCTATAAATTATAATGATTATATAAATTTGACATCACCTACACTGGCTACACTTATTTTGGTTACCAGTTCTTTGACGTGACTTYATTGCCAACYCTCGTGCCACCCGTGGGAGACACGATGCACAGTTTGTATACGTTTGATCTAAAATTTTAACTAAAAGTGATTATTATTATTGTACATTGCACGGTGTGCTATATCCAAATAAACTCATATTTTACTAACGTAAATAAATCATTAAAATATTATCTTAATATTTGTAGGTATTTACAAAAATTTTACTCTCTGATACACACTGCAACATTWTTAAAGACCATAAATACATATTTAAAATAATACAAACGTTTTTATCTTATTAGAGTTTTTAATATGAATGCATTTTTTTCATAGGATATAAAAAGACAAATTCCATTATGTTGGAAATCATTATTGGATCACTGAAAATATGTCAAGTAAGTTTTTTAGATTATTAA